ATTTTAAAAACTTTATTTAATTGTAATGACATGTAAGCAGAGTGGAGGGTGGGTTAAGTTGACATGTCAGCGTTTCCGTCGAGAAGGTCGCTATAGGAATTTTTCGTGAATGATTTATTCTTACCAGCAGAATAATCTGTATTTAGGTGATTTGGTACATTTGAAGCGCAACGAGTTGGCGCACGTGAATAATTTGAAATTGAAGGTTGAGTGAGGGATGAAAGAATGGATTCATTAACACTTGTGATTTGTTGAGTAAAGTTGAGAGCTGGAGATTCTGGAGAATTTGGTATATTAGATTTTAGCAAATGTGTTGTTGTTTTAATTTTTTCAATATTTACAGTTGCTTTGGTTTTCGAAGGTTGATTAATGGATGAAAGAATGGATTCATTACCACTTGTGATATGTTGAGTAAAGTTGAGAGCTGGAGATTCTGGAGAATTCGGTATATTAGATTTTAGCATATATGTTGTTGTTTTGATTTTTTCAATATTTGCAGTTGCTTTGGTTTTTTCAATATTATCTTTGGCAAGTGATGTAACTGGTTTCGCAATATAATTTTTGGTTAATGGTGGAACAGGTTTTTCATTGGAAGCAGTTGCAGTTAAAGTCTTACTAGGCTCGATTTGCGAGGCAACAGCAGCATAGGTATTACTTTTGCCAATTCCATGGGCTACAGAGGGATTTCTTTCCCGGTATGTGCGTCGCGCTTCGCCCATGCTACAGTAATTTTCTGTTTTGATTTTTAATATTTCACGCATCTGTACAAAACGTGGGTATTGTTTGTCTAACGCTGAGTGTTGATCATTGCAATTTATGCAGAAACTACGGGTACAGCTTTCAGTATGTGGAGGATGACCACAGTTAGCACAAGATGCAGCATTAGTGCATCTTTTTGCCGTATGACCCAGGCGTTGGCAATTTTTACACTTCATAGGATTTGGGATGTACAGTTCTACTTTACATTTATACCACGCCACATCAACTGTTCGCGGTAATCGATAGCGATCAAAAGTTAAAACAATCCTTCCTGTAGGAGAGCGTGTTTTTCCGTCATCATTCAGTTTGGTTAATTTATATACTTCAGTCACCCTTGAATGCCCATTTCGCGAACAATTTCATCTTCCGGCACATGCTTTAAGCAAGGGGCATAAATTACGCCTCGAACCGAGTTAAGTTTCTCATGCAGTTTAGCTGAAATAGCACATAGATTAGCTAAAGAATTGGCCTTTATTAGTTTTTCAGTTGCGCGCGGGTTCCCAGCGAGGACCAGTAAATTCCCATCGCGTAGAATCGAGATCGAGTCGATGTATGTTGTAATGCTATCTAGAGCTTTTTTTATAGCAAAAGGGCTAATTTGGGAAATTGTTATTCGAGCATCGGTTGAAGAAATAACAATATATTTTTTATCAATGGGGATTATATCGCTGATCGGCAACACCGGAAAATCTGATTTTTTACTTTTTTTTCTTTGGGGGGATGTATCACTTAATAGATAAAATCTATTCGGGTTTTTGTCTGGCGGCCCCGGGGCCATTATGCCTTATTGTTGTCTATTGTTTATTATTTGTGAAATAACCACGCACTAGAAAAGGTTTGGGAAACTACTGAATAAAATGTCAGATATTTTTAATTTTTTTTTTTTTTTTTAGATTTATTGAAAGGAAAACACGTACGGTATCCGCGATGAACACTTTTCGCAATAAACACACAAAAAGTTCAATAAATGTTAATAAGTTTGAAAACTTTTAAAGACGTATAACGCAATAAAGAAATTAAATTGCAAAAATTTTTTCACAAAGAGAAAAATATGACCACAGCGCTTGAACAGAGTTGCCGTTCTTCTGTAATGAAAAATTAAACTTAGTACTTTTTATTAAATATTGTACTTAAGAAAATGTTATCTTCGAATAAAATATATAAACGTATAGTGTATTTGGTCTTATTTGAAAGTTTCTGTTATATATATTTAGGTAAGCAAGATATGAGGAGTATTAAGTTCGAAATAGTTATTCTCTTCCAGTATTAACTTCGAAATAAGTATTCTTTTCCAGTATTAGAGTTAAAGCCCCATCAAGTAATTAGAGTGGATATCATAGCTATTTGTGGCCAATATTTCAAAAATATTCGAAGAACGTCAAATTTTCCAACTCTGGAAGAGTACACTAAATAGGTAACTACAATATAATACAATACAATAACATCAGCAAAAGAACCATAAGAACAACAACAACAACTATAATTTAATATTTTTCGCTTTAGGAGGTTTTTGTCAAAAAACGAAAATTTCATTTATTTCGATTTAAGACGATGGTACCTCTTGTTGTTGTATACATAAGTCTTTGAAAGAAATTTATGTAAACAAGAGCCTTATAGTCGGGCAAGGCCAACCATTCAATACCCTACACCACATTATCTAACACAATTTTGATTTTCTTGTTTATATATAAAGGCATATTTTTTGGGGAAGCGGACTCAAGACGCAACCAAACAAGTTTAATTTTTGCATAGGGCAGAATCCAAAAATAAGCGTAGATGATCCAAATTTTGTAGAGTTCATATAGATATGAAATCAATATAATATTATGGATAAATTTCCATCACCACATATTAAAACTTTTCTGCTCTACAAAGAATCAATTTTAATGAATTGTATTATTGTACCCAATTTCAATATCTCAATAATTTTTTTATGTGAAATTACCATTATGATATAATTTTATCGTGAGGCATTGAAAATTATACATTTTCGCGGTATGAACATCAGTTTTCGTTAAATAAGAGGAGGTTCGAAAACTGCCGCAGACGGTCCAAAGTTTTCATGTCAATTTAGAATGCCGAAATACTAATACTCAGCTATTTCCGCCGAGAAATTTCGAAAATTTTTCTCGATATAACGACTTTTCAGAATAGGCCGTTATATAAGAATTGGTTGAAAAAGTTGACCGATCTAAAACATTTTGAAAACTGTTCGTCCTTGGGTCAAAATACGTTGCTGCACCAAATTTCGTCAAAATATCTCAAGAATTACGACCTGTAGCTCGAACATAAATTTACATGGAGAGACATCAGACGGACAGACAAGCTTACGTCAATTCAGATTAAGATTCTGAATCGATCGGTATAATAAAAGGCTGGTCTATCTTAAACCCTTCTACACCACAAGCGACGCAGGGTATAAAAAGTGGATTTTGTTCTCATTGATGAAATGTGTTATCTCAAAATCGAGTAAAAAGAGACCGCGGATAGGATAGAGCAGGGGAATTTTAAAATTATCGAAAAGGCCGCTAAACACTTCACTTCTCAGACGGAACATGGATGGAAAGTTGCGCACCAAATGTCGATTCTAATCGCAAACATGTAAAAATCCGATTTTGACAAGAGGTAATCACGAATAGGCTAAACCTTGTCATGTGATGATCTGGTTATGATCTGGTTTTATGATCTTGGAAAGATGCGAGGAGACAAACCAGAATTATTAACCGAACGCGATTTTTCTAATCCAATACAAGACATCCGATTGAATGCGGATTACTGCGCTGTATGAAAAAATGATGTGCAGCTGCAGAACGTTAACCTTGTTTAATACTTTACAAAATGGCTTTGTAAGCTACAAAACCCGCTTCTACTTTTCTTATGTAATCAATAGATTAAACGGGTAAATAAAGAAATTGAAAATTAATAAAATATTGATATGAATTGTCATTTAATGTGTCTCTATTAATATAAATTATTTTGGAAATAAAAATGTTTAAATGCATTGAAATATTTACAAAGAATTTTTAATTACTTTATATTTGAACTGATTGTCAACATATTCTTAGAATCTTCTCGTCTTCATTTTTCTAATGGGTAAAATTGAAATTGGAATCCTTTCTTACTTTTCCCTCTAAAAATATATGGAAATAGAAATGCATGTTTAAGCTTAAATTGTTTGCAATATCATTCCTGTAATATCTTTTTTTTATCATTAAATCATTTCGTCTTTAATATTTATATTTGAATCGCGCTCAGACCTTGGTTTATAAGGAAATTCTGGGCTACTGTGGTAGGAATTGAGCAATGGTTTTTGCAATAAGTGGTCCGGGCAGTTTCTCATTAAATATAACCAGCACTTCTCAACCCTTAAAAAAAAAAAAAAACAATAATCGTATCTCAAGGATAAATCTGCTTGAACTTACTCATCCTTTTTTTCCATTCTTATATCTTGTATTTCACGATCGTAATATTCTGGATACTCTTCTAATTCATCTAATTTTTTCAACATTTCTTCATCCACTTCATACACTTCACCTTTATCATTATGACCGCGACCGCATTTATCCAGCAAGAATGGAATATTAAATCGAGTACTTATAATCAGTGGATATCTTTCAAATAAAATAAGCACTTGTACGAATATATGGTAAGAATTAGGAGAAAATTTTTCAA